CTACGCTACCATCGAAACGAGTGCGTTTTAACAATTGATCCTAGGTCCACCCAACAGCCATAGCACGGCATTCGACGAGCCCTACATGGAATTGCAGATTCAATTAAATCCTTACAAATGGTATATCTTGTCACCTATAATTCGAACCTTTTACTGTTGAAATTTGTTGGTCGAATGTTGTATCCGTTGGTGCGTAGGCCACGACAGTGGCAACTCATATCGACCGACAAGGCATAACAGTCGAAATTCGGAACCCCAAGCGGTTAACGATAGTCCACAATTTGTCACTCTTTGTCATATCCAGAATATTAAAACTCACAATTGGATGCGGGGACAAAGCGCCAATCTAAGACATATTTAAGCAGCTAAGAGTTTATTACATGGACGTGATACATCCAATAGATAATAAGAAGCTTATGATAGTGTCCAAGAAAAAATAATGAAAACTACCACTCTTAGAAGTCAAAAGTAGCCGACCAAAGCCAACACCAAAGTTTCTGCTGAAAGGCTTCGCCTTCATTTACTATCTAGTGGGGTCACCGATCAGATTATAGTATAGAAAACCACACGAGCAATAATCAAGTTGAAGGCAGACAACGTGGAAGGAAGAATCAAAAAACACTTTACAAACATACAATCACAACGAAAAGTTATCAGAGCAAATTTAAATGCTGATTTTGGAGGGTATAGTAGCACGGAAAAGGCATTGAGATTGGGGAAGAGACAAAAAGATGCACGAGTCCTTAACACCGGGTTTCATAGAGGCCACTTTTCCCAATGTAGCGAACCCATTTAATGACGTCATGATCTGAATAATTCAGCTTTGGCTCGAAAACCTTCAGAAATCGAACCCGAAAGCCCGAAGGTGCAAAGGGAACCTACAAAATAAATACATTTCAATTGAGATAAATGCAGTGGTGGATTATGTTACAAAGCACCAAAGGCAGAGAGGTATCTGGAAGATTCCTCACCTTAAAAGGTGCTCCAAAGCACATGAGATGGACTTGAAAATTTTCGCCAAAGTAAAGCTGATTTACTAACCAAAATGCGCACTAGTGCTGCTTCGGATATTATTAACAACGCTACAAAACCACAATCTTTGTAGGAAAAGAATCCGGACGTCTAGAGCACAAAATTCTGTTGAAGGACAGGAGTAGATGAGAACAAATACAGACACAAAAACCTAGATTTAAAAGTAATTATCATTATGGCAGAAGTGGTGCATTAATTTTCCCATATCATCAGCTTAAAAAAAGCGAGGTTCAAGGACACACCTCAAAGTTCATGGAGATTGGTGAGCGACTAACACGCTGTGGTTTGTCTGACGACTGAAGCAAGTCAACTTCAGCGGATAGCTGGGAGTCTTTCATTCCAGCAATACGTGGAAGTCTAAGATAGGAAGGGAAGAAATTAGTTCACCGTTTAAGCGCAATTTGGCCGTAACTATCAAAAATAAAGTCTAATTTCTTGCATAAACGTACTTAAATGTCACATCTTTTCATTCTCGTGGGAAGATTTTAAAAAAGTACAGTACATACTGAGGGTAGGGGAGACTTACTTCCATACAATGGCATTCTCGGCTGCCTTGTATTTGGCTCTGCCCTTTGAACAAATCACCTGAACCCCACTGGTATTATTCGGAGTGGGGATGCGCACCTCTACCTTTTGAGCAAGGAGGCTGGGCTTAAAGGTGGCTTTCACGACGACTTTGATTTCCAACTTGTGCTTCCCAATCTCGTGCACCAACGGAATAAGTCGGAAAGGTAGTGTGATTTCCTATTGGGCAGATCAATACAGAAGGCGAGAGTATTATCTTTTGCAGTTCAAGCTGCAAATTTTAGAAGGAAAATGAATGACATGGCCAAAACAATATTGTTTGAGATAGCTAGGATAAAAGCTTCAATTTAGCCAAAATTCATTATTAATGGCAATTTAGCGAAACCCAAGCGAAGGGAGAACCAATTTGAGGAAAAGAACATAAGATTCAAAAAAAAGAGAAAGTGGCATTGCGAAATTCAGATATACGTGAGAATCCTCGGCAATTGAGGAAATGCCACACGTACGTACAAAAACATGGATATTTCAGCCACAATAGCTGAGACCCCACCATGATGCGAAATAGGAGTGGATACAAGAATTACGTAAAAAGGTACATACGTATGCAGTTATTTAAAAGCTTAGTAGGTAAATACATCTTATGAAGCACACTTTGGACAGGTTATGAAATTAGCCTGAAACCTAAATAAAAAGCAAGGAAAAATCAGTGCAAAAATTCACAGGCTTAGTAAGTAAAAGGTTTAATAAACTTACACGTGTCTTGCGATAACGCATGAGAACAAATTCGCCATCTGGTGGAATGAA